GTCTGTATGTGGGATCCGAACCCTCGGTGGGAGTGCCGCCGCACTTCCCAAGAGGCGCACTAGCGCAGTGCGCCACTGGGCCGGCCCGAGCTCCTGGCTTTATTTAAATCAAATGCAGTTTTGTTTTCAGCCAAATTCCCAGAGTTGGTTTCCTGATTCTGTGGTGGTGTTTCCTTTTGGGTTTTTTTTGTTTGTTTTTCTTCCCCTGGGAAATTTCGGTGAAGAAATTAGCTTGCCCCCTTCTGTCCTGAGCTGGGTGGGAGACTCAAGGCACATCAGGAGATTCTGTTGGAAGAGAACAGGATCAATAGGGCAAAGTCTGCAGGGCCAGAAGCATATTCATTTCACAGAGCAGGTGGGCAAGAAACTGAATTAAAATGCTGATTTCTGGGCCCCATACCCCAAATACTGGCTTCAGTAATTCTGGACTGAGAACCGGGAATCAGCATTTCTAATAAATGACATAGGAGGCTCAGAGACCTCCCCCACCCCAGACGATTTTGATGCAGGTGATCCATGGGCCACACTTTGAGAAACTCTGCTCCAGAGGGCAGTCTGGTATAGGAAAGAGTCTCAGATTTCCAGTCAGGAGATCTGTGTTCATGGCCCTACTCAGCTGTGTGGCCTTAAACAAGTTGCTTAAACTCTCTGTGCTGCTCCTGCTGCTGATGGTGGTGGTGGTGATGGAGATGACGATGATCTATAGGACTAAGAGATTTCTGAGGGTGTGTTTGTGGACTAGAGACTCGAGAGAATCAGAGGCAGACAGATGGGATGATAATGGATGGTGGTTTGCCTCCTTAGGCATCATGGGACACACCCCCAAACACACACCCCAATACCACCCCCCAGCCGCTATGGGCATTGTTCTCAATCTTTGTGGACACCCAGCCTCCTTGGTCTACACTGCCAGTACTGAATAGAGCACGATTTGGACACAACTTAGAGGAGTTTATCCATGGTGTTGGTTTGCTCTATCACACGACACATTCCTTGGTAGTGGAAGGACCCTACAACTCTTCTGGAAGGTGGGATGGACATGTGTACCCAAAGCAGGAAATATGTGAATGCCCTATGCCAGTATTTGCTCTTGTAGAACTTTATTAAAAGAGGAAGTCCTCTAGCACGGGGCTGGGCACGTAGTGGACCCTGCATTCTTGGAGGCCACTTTCATCTCTGTTTCCTTCCTAGGACTCGCTCACTTCCTGCATCCCCAAAGAGCAGCTTCCCTCCCCTGGTACCCAGCCCGGGCCTTTCATGAAGCAGTGATCAGCCTGACCCTTGTCTCTCCTGACCCCTTACAGATGTCCTGGCGTCCGCAATACCGCAGCTCCAAGTTCCGGAATGTCTATGGGAAGGTGGCCAACCGAGAGCATTGCTTTGATGGCATCCCCATCACCAAGAATGTGCATGACAACCACTTCTGTGCTGTCAACGCCCGCTTCCTGGCCATCGTCACTGAGAGTGCAGGAGGTGGCTCCTTCCTCATCATCCCCTTGGAGCAGGTGGGTGGCCCCATATCTCCCTCGCCCCAGGTACAGCTCCAGGGCACAGAGGATCCCTCCTTGGTCACCACTGGGCTGTTGCCCCTATTTCTCTCTGAATTCCCTCCAGCCACATTTTACTTCCTCATCAAGTGTCCAGGGCTGTGCCATCCCTAGGGCTCACCTGCGATCCAACAGAACTAGTGTAGGCCAATGATCAAGGAGACCTGAGATCTCTCCAGAGCTTGCCCAAAGGTGTGCACGTGGACAAGTCACTTTCTTTGGTGTACATGGGGTTTCATTACCTGAGGGACTGGAATACACTGATCTCCAAGACCAGGTCCAGCTCTACAATTCTGTGTCCTGCATGTCCTTTTGGTTTGGAGCTGGAAGGCATGAAGACCCAGCCTTGGTACATTGGGCATCTGCAAAAATGTCATACTCATTAAAAAAAAATTGCTCTTCACTAAGAGAATATAAATAATTTGCCTTCTCCTTTATTCCCCACCTCCTATCTAAAGATTTTCTACCTTCTATGGTTGTTTATGTGAATATAGCAGATTAAATCTACAAAGAAGGCCTAGTCATGAATTTTTAAGCTGTAGCCATTCAGGCAGAGTCCCCGCAGGCCCATGGGAGGTCATGCGCCTCAGGGAAAGTGCTCGCTGTCAGTCCCGCTTATTTATGGCTGAGTTCCCTCTTCCCAGCCTGACTCATCCCCACTCCCACCCTCCATCAAAGTGCTTGGCATGGGGAGGAAGTGCATGTGGAAGGAAGCCTTGGTTCCCTAAATTCACTGTCAGCTGGTGGTGGAGGATGGATTTTTCTAGTCTCTCCTACCCACAGTGGGGGAGTACAGATTTGGAAAAGGCTTGGGCCAGATCCTCCTTTCCACCAAATGGGGCTGCAGTGACCCTGAGGACAGAGCCTGAGGCACAGAGAGGTCCGTGGTGCAGTGGGCTTGGTGGCAAGAGGTCTGGGTGCAGCCACTTGCCAGCCTTGTGACCTTGGACATGTCGCTTACCCTCTCTGCCCCTTATTTTCCTGTAAGGTAAAACTAGGATCATAAATCCTCCTCTGCCTACATCTGCTATGGTGATATCAAGTGGGATAATAGGCTTGAAGCTCCTTGTGAACCACACAACATATTAAAGATGTTTTATACTTTCCTGGGAAAGTTGTCAGTTCTGCTGTTGATTTTGCAAAGATCCACAGCAGCTCTATCACATTTAGAAGGATTTTGAAATGTAGCTTGCCTTCCCTCCCTAACCAGTGGTCTCAGATTTCTGTCTGCTCTGGGGACTAGCTCAGCTCCATGCACCTGCAGTGGGCCTACAGGTCCCCAGGAACATGTGAGCTGGTTCTTACTAGGGCTCAAACCCGTTGCTGGCACCCCCCACTCTTCTACTTTATGGCTCGCGAGGGTCTGCAGTCAATGTCTCCCACCATAACAAATATAAATTCCAGACAGACTAAAGATCTAAACATTTAAAAAAAGAAAAAGAAAAAAAAAACTGTAAGGTATTAGATGAAAATGGAGAGCATTATTTATTTAGTTTTTGGTTCTCTGTAGACTGCTTAATATTTTTTTTTTATTCTTTAAAAAGATCAACAAAATTTGCAATCCTTTATCTAGACTGACCAAGAAAAAAAGAGAGAAGACAGAAATTACTAAAATCAGAAATAAAGCAGGGGCGCAGTAGAGCAGTTGCTTCTTCTATTACCCTGGAGTGGGCTTTGAGGAGAGAGATGTCCTCTTCTTTTTCCTGTCTTGGCTGGTGACTTTCCTTGTGTCACTGCAGTTGGGTGTCTGGCAGGCCACCTGCACAGCAGCTGTGGCTGTGGCAATGGCTGTGATGGGCCACCTGTGAGGAAGCGGTGTTCGCAGTGTGCTCCTTGCCTGCTTCTCAGAGGAGGATGCCGCCCTTGGCTCCTGCCTATGACCCCGGTGTTCTCTGTTTCTTGCCTGCATCTGGATGGAGGGTGGAGAGCATTTTTAAAAGTATGCAATGAGAAAGGCTTCCTGAGCAAGACAAGGATCCCCAAAACCATAAAAGAAATGATTAATAGATTAGAATAAATGTTTTAAAAAATAAAGTTTCTGTACTACATTGAGACACCTATACAAAATTCAAAGACAAGCCACATATTTGAGTATAATATTTGCAATATATAACAGACCAAAGATTCATATCCACTATATGTAAAGAATTCCAGAAAAATCAGTAAGAAAAGGAACCCAAAAGAAAAATGGACAAAAGATATGAATAAGAAATTCACAGAAGACAAAATATATCTTTTAATCTACTAATTAGAAAAGATTTAAAAGACTAATAATCTTCAGTGTTGCCAAAGGTGTGAGTGCACAGGTGCTCAAATACACTCTTGGTGACACGTAAATGAGGCAACTTGGCAATATCTATTAATATTTAAAGGTGCATGTCCTCTGGCCCTGCAATTCCACTTTAGTGTAAAAAAAAGTTTGCCTCATTTTTTAGTCCTCGTTTTTTTTCACAAACCTTAACTTTTTATTTTTTGTAACAGAAATAAAATTTATTTTATTTAAAATAAACATTTTAAGCATCTCTAAACTCTTCCTCTCAGTTTCTGTAATGATAACAAAGAATTTTATACTGTCAGTAACTCTGATCTAGAATATGATTGGATTTTGTAAACACTTTATGGACAGCAGAAAAGAAAGTACTCTACAGAATATAAGTCTGTCTATGTAGAAGTATGTGGTATATATACAAACAGATACATACACTCAACATACACATTTTTGAACTTTATTTGTTCGCATTCTGTGATACGTTTTCATGAACTGATAGTATAGCTCACACCACTAGTTGATTTCTGTTTTCTTTCCTTCCAAGTTTTCACTTTACATAAGTACTGCATGATTTCTTTTTCTTATTATTTTTATTTATTTATTTATTTGTTTGTTTAATTTATTTAGTACTCCATGATTTCTGCAGCATTTTTATAATAGCAAAAAATTGGAAACAACCTGTGAGTCCATCAGTAAGGAAAGGGGTAAACAAATTAAGGAACGTTCACACAAAAGTGCCGTCATTAGGGCCGGCCCGGTGGTGCACTGCTACAGTGTGCCGCTTGGGAAGCGAGGCGGCGCTCCCGCCGAGGGTTCGGATCCCACATGCAGACCGGTTCCCGCTCACTGGCTGAGCGAGGCGCGGGAGCAACACCGAGGGTTGCAATCCCGTTGCCGGTCCCGGTCCGGTACGGGCGTGACACTGAGGGTTGCGATCCGTTGCTGGTCACAAAAAAAAAAAAAGACAAAAAGACAAAAAAAAAAAAAGAAGTGCCGTCATTAAAACTGGTGATGTAGAGCAGTCAATCTCAAATGTTCCGTCTCAGGATTACTTTACACTCTTAAAAATTATTGAGGGCTCTAAAGAGCTTCTGTTTATGGGGGTTATATCTATCAATATTTAGCATATTCAGAATAAAAATGGAGGAATTTAAGTGTCTATTAATTCACTTCAAATAATGATAAACCCATTTCATGTTCTCCTTGAAAAACATTTTTATGAAAAATAACTATTTTCCAATACAAAAAAAAATTGAATGAGAAGAATGGCATTATTTTACACTTTTGCAACTTCTTCAATATTAGTCTGGCTTAATAGAAGACAGCTGGGTTCACCTATCTGTTTCTGCATTCAGCCTATTGTGATAGCACACATTGTGCAGCCTCTAAAAAAGGTAAAAAGGCAAATAATGTCTTCGTATTATTATGAAAATAGTTTTGACACAGTAGACTCTCTGGAAAGATCTTGGTGAACTCCAGGGGTTCCCAGATCACACTTAGAGAATCACTGAGCAGAGGCATATTTAATGAAAGAAAACTATTTATGATACACTGTTAAGTGAAAAAAAGCCAATATATGATTAATCACATTAAAAAAAAATCTATATATTCATCTACCTATCTGGAAAAGACTGAAAGAAAATATACCAAATGCCAAAAGTGGTTATCTTCAAGTATCGGGATCATGAGTGCTCTTCAATTCTCTTCGTTTTCATTAGCTATATTTTCTAAATTTTTTACAACGAACATGTAATGTTTTGTACCTTAGAAAAGAAACCATAAAAATGATTCGTTGATGTGAAGAGGGAGGCCCTGAGGTTTCAGAGGCTGCATGCAGCACAGAGAGGGGCTCCATTCACCGTGCTCACCTGGGTACCGGGAGGAGCCCCGTCCACACGATTAACCTGCCGTGCTGCCCGTCAGATGGAGCTCTTCATGTATGTGAACATCGGTTCTCCCTTACGTGTGCTGTAAATGTTTTCTCCCAGGGTAACACATGAACGTGAGCTCGCTATAGAAAAATCAGACAAAACTGAAGTGTCTGTAGTGAGGACACAGCGGTGACGGAGGTGGTGTTCTGACTGGGTGGGAGTTTGAGGCAGGACCCAGTACCTGAGACTGTGTGGAGCAGGGTCCTGCTCCCCAGAGAAGGGTTGCTTAGGAATGGGGCGATCGTGGGCGTTTCCCTCCTGCTCGGCCAAGGCTGTCGGGCTACTGCCCCTTGTGGTCAGGGCTGAGCCCGCAGGCATGTGACTCAGGCCTGGTGGGAGGAGGGAAGCGAGAAGAGGGAATGCCAAATTCCGAACCCCCTCATTTATGTGGCAGCAGTAGAGATGAGCTGTTCCATGCTGGTCAATTTTCTAGGAAGGTGAAGTGTATTAGTCCATTTTCTGTTGCTTATAACAGAATACAGGAAACTGAGTCATTTATAAAGGAATAGAATTTATTTCTTATGGTTTTGGAGGCTAAGTCCACAGTCCAGGGGGTGCATCTGGTGAGGGTCTCATTCTTGGTGGGAACTTTACAGAGTGACGTGGCCACCAGGGTATCACATGGTGAGAATGGGCTGAGCAAGAGAGCTAACCTGCCACTTGCTCCCCTTATAAAGCCATCAGAGCCACGCCAGTGACCACCCATTAAACCATCCACCCATTACTCCACAAATGGATCCATCCATTCACTAGGGCAA